AAGCTTTTCACATATCGTCTTTGATATTGGAGTAGCACTTGGATGGGTGACCTAAACATTATACCTTATCGCTCTTTTGCTCCTTTTTTCCGTTTTCTTCTTTTTTTTTTTTTTTTTTTTCTTTTTTGATCTCATTATGTATTGGCTTTGCAGGTTAATTTAGATTATATTAATCTAGAACATAAGTATTGCGAGGAAACAAAACAACTACACTCTACATCGTTATCTTTTTGTTAGTTTTCTGTGAGTGAAAAACTGTTCCGCTAATGAAAAAGTATTTTTTGAGCATTTACATTTTCTCTGACTTCCATTGATAATGGAATAAATTTGGTTTGAATAATTAAAGAATTAATATACTCTTTATAACCAAAACACACATACACACACAACAACAACAACAACAACAACAACAGCAACAACAACTCACAAACCCCCCAAATATTCCAGGTTTTACGAGAACTAAATACTGAGAGAGATTTCAAAGTTTTGGACTCCTCATTGTCACATTGTTTTCTTTGCTTGTTCTTTATCAGTTTCATCTTGATTTTTTTTTTCAATTCTTTTAACGAATCGAAGAAAATAAGGTCAGTATGTAAAGAGCTACAATTTCGTAATTTTGAAAGCCGTATTTAACAAAGGAATCAGTAGAGGAATGAATAGTTGGTAGGTGAAAGGGATGTGAGGATGGGATGGGATAGGATAGGAGGAATGGAGAGAGGTATAAGGAAAAGTGAAAAAAACAGAAAAGATTAAAGAAGGAATATGGTTGCTATAACCATAGGTTTATTAATCATTATTATTTATTATTATAATAAATAGATAAATGAATAGATTCATCGTTGGCATACATCTACGTTCCCAATGACTATTCACGATAACACAAGAGCCCCTTCAGTGTTTCTAGCTTCAGGTTTCATTGCATTTCAAAAACTTAATCTTATAAGTGCACTCTTAATCCTTCTCCTAAGCTCATAAAGCATATAAGTATGAAAAGAAGTTTAAAACTCTTATAAAACATAATTATAAGAACACGGCTAATACTTGCTACGATCATCTTGATCACAATAAATGACTGGTTCAAGTTTGCCCGAGGATGTTATGAATGCTATTATTTCCGTCTCCGTGTGAATGGATTTGCCAAGCACTGATAGAGACTCTGAATGAAGCAAATCAACCATGACCCAGAGGGCACTACAGTTTATGTTATTCTTATCGCTAATATTTGAAGGAACCATGGAGACTTACTCGCACATGCATGCTTGTAGAAAGAATAAGTAAATAAATACTTCTCTTCAGATTCATTAATGACCTGCTCTTGTCTCTCACCCAGCTCGTTAATTGCTGCAGTGCTCGGAAGTCGGGCACTGAGTTTCACTTTGCTTGTTCTAAATGTTTACTTTTCGTCCAGTTTTTTTAGTAAGTGTTATTAAGTGTTATACCAATGGGGTTAAAGAAAGGAAGCTACTAATAAAAACGTATTCATTCGTAAAGACCTCTTTTTATAACGCATTTGAAGTTAATCGTTTTTTGTTTTTTTTTTCTTGTCACTTACGTTTTTATTTATTTATACTTTTCCTACAGTTTTTTAGCAAGTCTTTTTAAGTGTTATTCCGAAGGAGTTAACGAAAGGAAGCTACTAATAAAAAAAAAAAACCTCTTTTTGT